ATATGGGTATAGTCTTTAATGTTACATTCTGTATTCCCCTGCTAATTGATATATTTGTTTGGACTTTATGGGTCTAGTTCAGTAACTAGGTAGTGCCTTAATGCTCTGCTCCCATTATGTGTATCAATACCAATTAGTCCAGAAGTGATGAGAGTGGTAGAATAATGCAAATTCCATCCCCTGCCTTGCAGCTGGTGAAGAAAGAACTGCATTCTGCCTCTTCAATATTGGGAAACTGATAGTGAGTAAACAGAGCATTCTAGGGTGGGACAGGGGTAACTAAAGCTGCTAAAAGTCCAGGTATCCTGACAGCACTGTAATCTCCTTCCCTCTTACTTGGGAGTACCTCAGCTGAAAATAGCTGTCTGGCTAAACTACAGGCCAGGAGGTGTGTGGAGGTGGAGGTCATCTCCACTGTTCCTTCTGCTCTGCATTGTAAGCCTCTTGGCTAGGGATCTGATGACCAATGAAGATGCAGAAGCAATTGTTGCAAACATAACAATAACTCCAAAAGGAGGGAGGGAGGAGGAGGAAGGAAAGAACAAGGGGGAAAAAAACAGTAAAACATCCATACATAATGATTATTTACATCAGCAGAAATAGGGGGAAAGAATATTTAGAGAGCTAGTGTGTTGTAGTGGTTGAGTGTGATGGAATGTTGGACTGGGATTCAGGGGACCAGAGTTCTCACTCAGTCATGAGCTTTGGTATGTCTTTGGTTCAGTTATGGACTCTAAGCTTTACTTCAGTTTATTCTTCCTAATGTTAAGTGAAAGTCTCTTTGCAACTGTAAGGACGCCTAATATCCACTTTTACTGCACATTCCACAACAGGATTGTAATGTAAATGCACATGGACATTCACTATTATAAAAGAACAACTAGGACATGTCAACGTGATATGCCTCAACAGATGGAACCAAAACAAGGAATCTAAATACCTGAACTCCTGCACATGCTGGGTTGGATTGAGCAATTGCCTCCTGTTGATGGAAAAATTCTACTCATGTAAGGGTGCTTGGCCTAATTTGGGAGAGCCCTCCCTATCCCGCACAACATACGTCATCCCACTCTGCATTTTCAAGGAGGCAGACTAGCCACTGGAAATCTGTTTCTACCTTTTAGTTGTATGCATCTAAATCTAGACCCCACGGATCTAGATGTCTCACCCAGGGAACATATAGTGCAAAACTTTATCTACAGTCATTGCACTGGATCCAGAGTTAGTCACGCTTTGGGTAGACCAAAGCGTGACTAAAGCATGATATCAATGAAACAAACTAGTTACGACTAATCTTATTGATTTCAATGGGTCAAACTCTGATAATGGCTATGTTTCAATCCATCCCTATAGTAGGAAGGAAAATAAGAAGCATCTGAACCATTAAGTACTGCAAATATTTGAAGAAACATTTGATACATACTTGACTGTCATTTAAGCTGAACTTTGAATTGATTCAGACTAACCTGGCAATTTGGTGTGGTGCAAATACTCTTAATATATGCAAGCTCTGTAGGGTTGTTGCCACTTTTTAAATTCATGAATTTGTAATGTGTTCTTAGGTATGCATGAACTTACACTCCACTTCTTGTGAATTTTCTAAAACCTGAAGCTCCACATATATTATCCAGATTGCACTTCAGTAACTGAACCTGTTTGTAGAGAAACAAAGGCTCCAATTGTTAGAAACACTAGGCCTCTTGGGTGATTCTACAAAAACACCATTTTAACCTCAATAAAATATGCCCTTTATGGTTAACTTTAGTTGATTTTGTCTGGCATCTTCCATTCATTTTGTCTTTATGCCATCTTCTTTTCTACTTTGTTTGTTTGTTTCAGTGTTATTAGAGTATACTCCCCTTGGGAAGAAACGTTGCTTTTTGTAACTAAGTCAGGGCAAAGAGTTACCAGGATCACTTTTGACTGCAGTACATTTGGAGCACTAAAGCTGTAATACAGCCTCTTTGGTTTTTCACCAAGTCCCACATAGGAAAAGTGCATAAAATGGAGTTCAGTACTATTCCATGCCATTATGACCCCATTCAGTTGTCATCTCCTGTTTAAAGGCCAAAACAAAGATGATTTTAAGTCTCTATCAAGTCTTTTCCACTCATTTTTACTCAGGGTATACACAGGGTACACACACACATTAAGTTGTAACTATTCTAGAGAAATGTAATAAATAGGGATATAGGTGCTTGATACAAACTTTAAAATATGTGTCTGTTTTGGTCATAGTTTACCAAATAACACCAACAGCATTTCCTGACCAGCTGATGTTGAAGAGCAATAGTTTCCACTCCCTTTTGCAGGACATCCTGGGTGGGCAAGCAAGCAGTGGTAGGGACAAGAAACAGCTACTCCAGGATACCAGCTTGCTTGCTGTAGTCCCTACCACTGTCCACGGTATATGGATGGGAAAGGACTTAAGTTGGCCTCTTCTTTAAGCAGAAGCCACAGCTTGGTTCCTTATCCCCTATCTACATAGCTATGGGAAGAGCACAAGGAGAAAACATACTACAGAATGGAGGGGCACCCAAGTGGTCAATCCAAACCACTGCTAGGTTTTTGAGGGCTTTGAGCAAGATATCCTCAATGTGCTGCCTTTCTCAGCAAATCTGCCTTCTTGCCAGTATTGACACCAATATTGCTGCCATTGCTCTTCCTTTTCTTTGTAGTTATTGGTACCACTTGCTTGGTTGCTTGATGATCAGAGAGTTCGTGAGAAAGTAGGGAGGGATGTTTCCTGGTTCACTTTCTCACCTCCACTCTTGTCTTAGCCACAGTAGCTGAACAAGTATGTTGCAGTAGTGAAGAGGAGGAGCAACTGCAGGGGGAGCTTGCCAGTGAGCTGCTGATGGGTGTGGACTCTTGCATGCCTACTGTCCATGGTGGCCCCAAATGCCTCAACAGCCATCTGGCAGTTCTGATCCACGACTCTGACCCTCACAAGACAAAACCCTTGTTTTATACAGTTTTCATGAATTACATAATACTTTCTGGATTCTGACACTAACTCTATTATGGAAGAGGCAACTTCTGCAACACATGAAGAACATTTCTGCTGTTTTCTGACTGTGGTATCAACACTTCTACTTTTATGGATGAGATTATAACATTTCCCATCCTTTCATGTCTCTTTCCTGTTCCATATTCTTTTTTGTCCCCTGTAAACCACTGGCTGTTTCCTAAAACTTTGCTAAGTCACATCTTTTTTAATATGAATAACAGGAAGGAGTTGCCTATAAATTATGTATGCCACTTATTGTACATCTGTTAAATATTTCTTTTAAAACATGCAGGGACACTGTTTCTGTTTTACACACTGGGAAACTGAGATAGAGGGGAAACAGAAGTTGTAAAATGAAAAAGGAAAGTGCCGCATTCTCCAGAAGTTTCAACATGATTATGAAAATTCTCTGAATGATTTTACTGTTCTGTATACATTTTTTGGGGGGGAAAAACATTTGTGCTTCCTAGAAGGTTGTTCAGATGAAATTTTACTCTCCTCTGAGTCCACTGCTTAATGTCAAGGTATCTTTGAAGCTCCATTCTTCCATTTGAGCATAGGAGACTGCCTTATGCCAGTTTAACCAGTACTGTCTGATCTGGCTAGCTGGGGCTGGAGGGCAAAGGGAAATATTTCCCAGGCCAGTATAAAAGTCAGAATGGAGCTGGCTGATCTTTTAAAATGTCCCAAACCATGGCATATGTTAGAAACAACTGGGAATGGTTCTTCCCACCCAGTCATGTTTGAGACATGAATACGGTTGGTTAGGGTCACACAGCAGTTGGCACCATAGGGCAGTCTGTTCTGTTTCACACGGGGTCTGGGCAATATCGGAGAATAGTAATAATATCTTGCAAGGGTTTATGCCCTAAAATACTGTTCTCAGGTGTTTCTAACCCATACTATTGTTTTCAGTATATTTTGGTCTTTTTAAATAAAAGGCCTTGTCCATTCTATTCTGGCGTTTGCAACACCTCACCTTTCCCATCTTTTCTTGGAGATCCCAGGGACTAAGCTTTATGCTGTCTAGCACTGAGCTCTCTTGCTTTAGAGGAAGCAATGCTTCTGACATGTTCCAAAGGTGCTCCTCTGTCTTTAAGCAAGCGAGAAAATGGTCCAGCCAAAAAGTTGAGAGCAGGTCCCGGGGTCTCAGCCTAGTTCTAAGCATCCTGGACACATTTCCTTCGCTTCCTCGTTGTTCACCCCATCCGTCCTTTTCTAACCTTCCTTCCGTATTCCCACAGAAGGGCTGTATGGAGATGGTACCATAGTAACTAGCACGGAGCAAGGCTGCTGCTGGTGGTGGAGGAGGAGGAGGTGGAGGAGAGCGGCTGCAAGGGAGGCCCGACTGGCGGATGCTACAGCGCCTCCTGCGTGCGCCTCACTCGCGCGCTCCGCGGCCAGCAGCAAATGGCTCTGGAATCGCGAGCTCCTTTGTGTGAAGCACACTCCGAGCAAAGCGGCCGCGGCGCACGCCGAGTCCGTCCTCTCCGCCCTGCAGCCGGCGACGTGGGGCAGCCGTTCCAGAGCCGGATCCCTGCCTCACTTCTCCCCCCGACGGCTCCCCGGTAGCTTTTTTCTTCTTTTCTCTCCATCCCCTTTCTTCACTCCACAAGGTGGGGAAATAAAGACATCAGAAATAAAGCCACTGAAAAGAAAGAGGGCCGAGAGAGAAAGAGAGAGAGACAGAGAAGGAGGGAAGGAACAGACGGGCTGGGAGGGAGGGAGAAAAGAGGAGAACTCTCAAGGCAGACCGAGATCCGCTTTGCCAAGTAGCGTGTGCGGGGAAAACAGAACTCCTTGAAGTTACCTGCCCTGCCGTAAAAGAAAGGGAGAGGATTTTGTCGTGTCTCATACAGCCATCTGCGGACAAGACCGGCGCTTTTTTTGGAAGAGTTTTCTTCTCTTTTTCAAACCACAAACGGATGTGAGGCAGGGAAGGTGTTTCTTTTTCTTGTTCTTTTGGCTGCTGTTTCTCTTCCTCCTCCTCCTCCTCAGCTCAGGTAGCGCTGTCTTCTGGGGCTTTTTCGGGGTTGTTTGTTTGTTTCCTTTTGTTTTTCCTTGAACACAAACACAAAAAGGGAAGACCGAGGAGTTTGCTTGATGCTTTAGTGCAATGGACGTAAGATTTTACTCGCCACCTCCACCTCCTCCACCACCGCCACCTCCGCCACCAGCTCCCCAGTCTGCAGCCGCTCCTGAAACTCCTTGCCTGGGACCTTCTCCTTGCTTGGACCCCTACTACTGCAACAAGGTGATTTCGCGTTTTGCCTCTTTCCCTTCGGGAGGGCTGGGTGCTGGGCTGGCTTGAGATGGCTGTAGCTTGAAGAAGAGACTTCAAGCCTGGCAGGTTGTAGACTTGAGCTAAACACTCGAGGACTGGCACTGCTCCCTCTCCCTCTCTGTGTATGTGCGTGAGCGCTTTAAAGGGAGGTGGGCCAGCGAGGTTGCCTTCCTTGTTCGATGTTGATATTGTAGGTGACAGATTTCTGCGGCGGCGGAGGCGGCGGCGGGGGGTGGGGGTGCAGCGGAAGGCAAGTAACCGCTTTTGTAAAGTCAGATCTATTGTATGTAAGAACCTCGATGGCTCTAAAATAAAATCATTGCATGCCATGAGAGGGAGGGGATCCACTTCTTTTCGCCTCTTTCCTTACTCGTGAGCAAGCCCCATGGTGATCGATGGAAGCGGCTTCTCAAGGAAATGCACCTAGGATCACAAGAGTCCCCAAGCTGAAAGTCTCGTCTAAGTAGTCTCTGTACTCGCTTTGGATGCATATGCGGAAGAATTAAATCCACTGTCGTCTCCCCCTCGCCCTGCCCCGAAAGCTCTTTTTAGCGAGTGATATGAGAATGACAAAGCATTGCCTGTACACGCCGGTTCGTATGTCAGATCTTGGTTAAAGCCAAGTTTCAAAATCAGCAAAGTGACAAGTTTATACGGATGAGCTGCAGGACTTAGTCTGAAAACTACCTGAATTCTTCTGTAACTTGATTCTGTATCGCACTTCTGGGTAATAGAAACATAGAAACAGAGCGAGTCAGAAGGGGCCTCCTGGGCCATCTAGTCTGTCCTCTGGCACCAGCCGGCTCCGCTCACGACATGCCCACCATGTGCATGTCCAGCCTATCTTTGAACACCCGCACCGATGGGGCCTTAACGACCTCTATAGAAACCTAGAAACCTCTATAGAAACATAGAAGAAGAAGAAGAATTAGAAAAAAGGTTTTAGGGAGAGGGGAGCTGTCTGCAAAAAGGGCATTGCCGGGTCCAAAAGAGAGGGAGAGTAATTCTCCAACGCAATCCTACCCATGTCTGCTAAGAAGGAAGTCCTACGCAATCTTTGGGGACTTGTTTCCATGTAAGTGTACGGAGGGTTTCACCATGAGGGTTCTTCTGGTCAATTTGGGACTGTGATCCTTAGAAGGGAATCCTTCTGTCTAAAAATAAGACCCATGATAGATTATTTATTTTCTACATATATGCGATCTCTCTCAGGTTTCAGTCTGCTGCAATGCTATGCATGAGGTTCACTTTCTCTCCTCTCCCTGCCAGCGTTGTGGAATGGGCAGTGCTGGACGTAGGGAATAATCAGGAAGTGCAAAAGCTTTCCCAAACAGTGCTTGAACACACCCCCGTGAGGGGGGAGACAACAGGAGCTGTGAGCAGGCATTGGCACTGCGATTTGTTTAAACCTGGATGCCTGTTAGGCTTTTGTTTAAGAGCCCGTCCTAGAAAACTGGAGCTATTGCAGACAGCACCAGCAGGCAGCTTTTTGTGCCCTATAAACTCCTCACTCAGCTACTTGCTTTAAGATGATTCTGTGCTTTGCAGCAGCCAAAGAGCTACAGATGACCAGTGCTGCTTTGCTTGTCAGTGTGCTCAATTTACATTTGAAAGCATGAACAGTGTTCTATTTTGTCACAAGTGTATGAGTGCTGTGGGCTCCTTCAAGCCCTTTGGGCAAAATGCACCCAGATGTAATGATGGAAATAAAGAGTTCTGCTTGATTCTTGTTTGAAGACTACAAACTGCTGCACTGTTGTAAAACATGAACAAAACCCTGTTAATTTTCAGGAACATTCCAGTATGATTTCATCTGCCATTCATGATGCGTAAAGCCCATTTCTAGCTGTTATTAGGACAAGTGTGACAAGAAACTTAAAATACCCCCCTAACTTCATAAATGTGGACTCTAACACCAGGTTCCCAAATAACATGTAGACAGATTTGTGTCCAATGAACATCCAAACTGTAGTACTTGCCTCTTAGGTTTAGATCAACCAGTAAAACTTTGCTTTGTTATGCTACCATGGAAAAAGAGAGAAAGAAAGCAAAGTTTGGATGTGAGGAATGCACCCCCCCTGCCTGCCCACTAATGCAGGGCAGTTTGGGTGTTAAGGCTCTTTAAGTACTCAGCAATGATGATTATAGAACAACTTTCACTCTCTGGCTTGCCACTATAAAATATAATCTCTTTTTTATTGTGAATTGTTAGCCTGCCATGCTGAAAGGTAAAGAAGCATTGGGTAGAATTAATGACATAAGTGTCAAAGTGTCTGAAGAGCCATTTGGCAATGAAAACCGGACGAACAGTTATTAAATCTATCAGTGATTTAAGGCTTCAAAAAGGAGGTAATGACTTGAATACTCATTTCGCTCATCATACTCAAGATGGTGGGCCAGATTTAATTTAAAAGTTAAATGCTTTGGAAAATCAGGAATTACACTAATATATTAAATCATTTTCCAATTAAGTGTTTTAAATCATTTTGGGTGGGTATCATTCTGATTGAATACATTAATTTAGAAAGTCTTTGTCCCTCCTCCCCTCCCCCTCTTCCTTAGTCAGTGTTTTTTCTGGTTAAGTCCAGTCATAAAGAAAAAGAAACTTTTCTTTAAGTATGGAAATGAGGCACTCTATTTAACTTAGCCAGGACTGGTAATGGATTTCAGAAATACACAGTTGTAAGACTTCTTTTTCTAAGCTCAGGAGTGACATACCAGGAATGTTTTTCACAAAACAGCATTCTTCAAGTAACACATATCTCTGTCAAGCAGCTCTGCCAATGACCATTGATTATAGTAAATGCAGTTAGAGTAGCTTTGCTGGCTGGGCCTCCCTAAAGCATGTGTTGACTGAACATCTCATTTTCCTCCATTTGTTCATCCCCATCTATCCAGGCTGATTAACACTGTTATGAAGTCATAACTTTATGTGCCCCATTGTTCCTGGCTGGGAAAATACACTGTGTTCAGTTGCTTTCATGGAACTGCTCCTGGAGAACTTTTTCTAAATGTTGTTTTCCCTTCAGCAGATTTGATGAATGTGGATGCAAAGGCTGCCCTATATCACAAAGTGCTAATGACAGTCTTATGCCTGTCAAATATATCTGAAATCAATGGGACTTTTGCAGAACATTATCCCTGGTGTTTGCAGTTTTCTCTGTACTCTCAAGATGATGAGAAATTGCAAGACAAACTTTAGTCTGGTTTATTTACTTGGCATTTACTTTACAGTAATCCAATTAGTTTACAGCAATCGCATTTAAACTAGCAGTGTTACTCTACAGTGTGCGGTTGTAGCTTTAAAATGTGTCCTAAAAATAAGCATTTATAAACTTGCTAGGATGACTAGCCATCAATCAACACAAGTTTTATTAATGATCTCAGGGACCATGTCTTCTGACACAGAATGTCATAGTTCATGTGTAGTGCAAGAACTGACAGTATCTGGACTTATGTCTTTAGCACAAGTTATAATAAATCCCCTTGGTAATGTATTTAAGTAACATGCAGTCTCATAGATCTTTTTGCTCTGCTGCTTTTCTACTGGCTGTCTTTGTTTCAAAAGATGACTAGATCTTTTCTTTGTAAATGTAAAATTATGTCCCTAAACGTTTTAGTTGGCCATTACTGTGTTTTCCCTTGCAGTGTAATATGCTTTCTACGTATTCTGTTGGATCATGTTTCTCTCCCATCTAAACCTCATAGGGAGAAAAGTGAAAGAACAATGCAAACAATGTTGGTTATGGCAACTGTGTGAGGTATCTCTTATACAAACAGAGAGAATGGATGGTATGCTGCTGTATATAGGTCAGCCTTTGAAATAATATAGTGAGGCTCATAGGCTGGACAGACAGAATTAGACTTGAGAAAATATGGCTCATTTCTGAAACTTACAGGAAAACTGCATTTTAAACAGTTTTGTGGATGGTAATTTAGAAGATAAGTATATTTTAATTTTCCTGCAAACAGTTATGTCAGATAAGGACACTGCATGATCACAATAGTAAAAGAGTTTCCTAATCTTTTGCTGTTTGGAGAAGTTATACCTTCAGTTTAAACATGTATCCATAAAAAGGAGAACCTGCCCTTTCCAAACACCATGGGTAAGTACTGAGTGGAAATGATCACTTACATTTGTTGTTTGCCAGTTACCATTCTTTTCAACACTGCTGAACTATTAACTATTTGCTTAATTTTGTTTTGACACTGGTAATAACTGGGATGCTGACTTATGCCCAGAATAGGAGGGATATAAAGGCTTTTATTGCTCCCAGTAGCTAGCCTTGCAAAAGTATGTACAGATTTTTTTCCCTGAGATTTGCTGGTTTAAAGTTCCAGAAGCCCACAGACCATTTGCAATTTACTTCCTTATATTTATCAGTGCAGTGGAAAAATAACAAGAGGGGGAGAGGGAGAGGGAGAGAGAGAAAACTAGACTAAACAAAATGGGGGTGGGGAACAAGGCAACACTAGGAAATGAGCACTAGTTACTTCTTTCAGATAATCAGTGTTTCATTAGATTACAAGACTGCATTTTTTATTTTTTCTGGAATGGGTTAACATTAATATACTTTGGCAAGTACTTAACAGTATTTTACTATTGTATGCTTATCATACCAGACCAAAACTTAGATTTGCTCTCTACAGAATGTGTCAAAGGTATATTTCTGCTAGGAGCCTGAACACCCGATATTTTTTACCTGATACAACTACCTTCTAGGACTCTTCAGAAAGACTCAAAAGTGCTAACTGCAGCAAATTTAAAAGAGATTTTGAACATCTGTGCACGAATGGACTCAATTCTGTGTTGAAATTGTTTTTATTTCATTCTCTGGAAGTGTGTTTTTTGGGTGCTAGTAACATATTCATGCTCCATGTTTATTAGTTTCTCTTTAAGAGAGAGGGTTCTCTATTCCTGCATTACTGATTTGTTGTGTTGGTGTTTTTAGTCGACTTTGTTGCCCTTT